AATTTTCCACACAACGAATACTCCTACTAAGTTTGTGGCTGCAGTGATGTCTTCCGAAACCACACAGACCCATAGGATTCCCAATAAAAAATATGGTGGTGGTGCTGGTAACAAGTTTTCACATAAAAATCGAACTAGATGCATAATCACAAGTTAATGCAAAATCCCCTCATGTTTAAAATTTTTTTATCAAATCATGCAATAATAAGAAGCATGTGATGGAAAATACGTAAAACAACCTTTTCTAGCGAAATGCTCAATTTCATGTTTTTCAGTGTTTACAGACACACAAGAATGATAACTTCTCCATACCTGACCGGTAAATACTAGGATAAGCCGTTGCTGCAGTTCCTCAACCAGTTGAGATGAAGCCAGCAAGGGATTCACATGAAGCCTCAATGGAATCCCAGGAAAGCTCGACGTGAACTTGATGCCTGGGTACAGGCCACCAACCTGATCCTGCCAGCCGCCTCCAGTGCCCATGACCTGCTCCAACACCAACACGAGTCTCGTCACATTCTCGTTGCCATCATCACCATCGGTAATCTGAAGCAGGGCCTTCACAACGGCTGCCGATAGGATGCTCGAGGTCCCCAAACCGCTACCACGGGGGACATTGGCCCACGTCTCGATTTTCAAGCCGGCCGATTGAAAAAAAGTATGATTTACAATGCCGGTGACAAGAAGTGCAGATTTAACCAGCCGAAACGGGTCGTCCACGTCGAACGGAGGGGTGAAAGAGGAAATATCGTCGACATATAACTCGTTTCTCGAATCATCCTTAATTAAAAGCCCGGTGTTTTTTCTAGTTTCTATAACTGTGCCTACAGGAAGAGAGCCTTTCAATTTAATTGCCATGTTTAGTACGCAGCCAGAACGTTCCAAGCTCCATGGAGGGGTGTCACTCCATCCACCGACGAAGTCAACCCGAACTGGTAACTCAACTTTCACTTTCCTTGGGTGAGAAGATTGGCCAAAAGTACAATGTGATGTGCTAGCTGGACTTGTGGTTGAAGTAGAGGATTCACAGAAAATTTCTGAAAGCAGAGCAGAAGAACATTGCCATGATTTAGAAAACAAGAATGGTTATTACCAGCCTTCTGCATATTTATAGAATTAATCAATGAAGTTTGAAAATTTCAAAAGAATCTCCCCATCAAATTTGATTTCTTACTATAAGTCTATATATTTCCTTTAAAAAGCAAAAATGAAAAAATAAAAAATAAAAAATAAAAATGAAGACAAACATGCCCTCCCCTTACAGTTATTAAAATAATACAGTGACCGCTTTCCGCTTACAGTTATTAAAATAATACAGTGACCGCTTAAAATATAATAGAATCAACCACTAAGGGTATGTTTGAAGTTATCTATCTACTATATAATTAGGCAACTCACTTGCTATTTTTAGAAAGTTTTATGCGGGACCTACAACACTCTTACTATTTTTGAAAAGGCTTCACATTTTTTTGACAAGTGTTCATATTTGTATTAGTTTTAACTACCTCAAATAATACTCCCTCCTATTCATTATAAATGTCGTTTTGAGAAGTTGCACAGTTATTAGGAATATATTTTTTTTTGTCAATAATAACCCTCATTAATGAGGATAGAGATGAATGTTTTGAGAAAAAATGAAGAGTGAATATGAAAAGACGTATAGTGTATTTATTAGCTAGATGAGGGTAATAATAGAAAAATATGTATAAAATATCCAAAACGACATTTATTTTGTTAATAGTTGATAATGTCAAAATGACATTTAAAATGAATAGGAGGTAGTATTTAGTTAGTTTACCGATAACTACCCAACACCCATTATTTAATATTTATTTAGTTTATCGGTAACTACCGATACCCATTATTTAATGATTTGACGCGTGTTTATCAATTGTGACTAATTTTTTTAATACAAACAATTAAAAGTACTGAACGTTTGTACTTGACAGTATTTTTATAAAATTTTATTAGATTTATTATTTAATATTTTAGTCTAAATTATTTATCTAATTTTCATAATTTATACTTTATAAATTAAAATAATTATAAGTGTTCGTATGCTTCTTGCATGAATTTTATAAGTTTTTTATCTTAAATTTTGCACATAATATTAAATCTTTATCTTAAATTTTGCACAGTGAAATTAGATATAAAATATTTTAAAAACATGTGCAACGAATAACACACAAACATTCTTCGTAATAAATGAATAAATAAATAACATTATGTTTGTAAATATTTTTTTTTGTAAAATATTTGATCACGATTAAATTAATCTAATAAAAAAATAGTATTATACATATATATGTAATACATGTAATAAATATCAGATTACATAATATAAAGATTATTTCGTAAATATTTTTTTATTTATTAGTAATATCGCGATAACATAAAAACGTGATTTAAGTGTTAAATGGTAGTATTTAATTATTTTAGACGTATAAATCTATGTATGTTCATAAAATATTTTGTTTTTTAATACGTAAATCAGTCACATATTTAACAACACTAAACAAAAGTCCAAAATAATATAACATTTTTATTTTTTATATTTTATTTTTTATAAAAATATTGACAAAGTCCAAAATAATATAGGATTTTTATTTGTTATAAAAAATATTAACACAACGCAGTAACACGAGTAACATATGGAAATTAATTATAAATACAGTAAAACCATGAGAGTGAAGTTATTAAAAATACATATGTTTGGACCGTTACCACATTGTTAGTGGCTTGAATCGTTACCTTTCACGACAACATTTTTTATTTAATAAGATATATATTTGGTAGATTATAAATACGCAATTCATTATTTTACCATCACATTCACATCTCTTTCACATCTTTTTCACACAATTGTTTACACACGAGTAAAGAAGGTATAAAAAATAGGGTGGGGTATCAAAGTCTGTGTGATGCGATGTTAAGATATGACTGCTTTCAAGATTGAAATACTGTTTTCTGGAAATTGATATTCTACGACTCCGAGGTCAAGATCGAAATACCGAGACTGCGAGGTGAAGGTTTTCAGAGATATAAAATCCATCCCTCAATAAAAAAAGATTAATGTAGTTATGTTCAAACGTTTTGGAGTCATTGGTATCCACACTTTATAATTATAGCACCAAATGACGGCAGATATAAAATTACTATAGCAACATTCAAGATATATTTTATGGTGAACTTCAATGTGAAAATTTCCCAAAGTTTATGTATAACTTCTAAAGTTTTACCTATTTGGCTAAAGACTTTTTTTGTAAGGACTCATTATTGATCGGTAAATATATCATATGCATATAAAACATAAAATATATGTTTTAGTTAATGGAGATTAATTTATATGAATGTTATACCTGAATAACTCTGTATTTATTGCCTATATCTTATGCATATTAAAAATAAAATATATATTTTAGTTATTGAGGAGTAATTTATATGAATATTATACCTGAAGAAATTTGTATTTACGCATTGCCAACTTATGTCCCTGTTTCACGAGTTACAAATGAGAAATGATTGAAAATATTAATTTGTGATGATAAAGATACCTCAAAGACGAATAACGTTGTATATAAGGAAGTGTTCAATAATATTTAATCGTTATGCATATGAATTGCAAATGTTCTTTTAATAATTTTTTTGTTTCATAGCTCCCGTGCATTTGCACGGGCAACTGTACTAGTTAAAATAATACAGTGACCGCTTAAAATATAATAGAATCAACCACTAAGGGTGTGTTTGAGAAGAAGAAGAAGAAGAATTAAAGATTTTCCCTCTCCTCCAAATTCCCTCACTTTTGGAGGGGGGACATTGGTGGAGGGAGGGATTTTCCTCAAAATTTTCCTACCATTCCCCTCCTAACTTACCAACCAAACAAAGGAAAAGTAAAAAGATCCCTCCTCTCCCTTCCCTTTTCCCCAACCAAACAATCCCTGCTGATAAGTCGTATTCTTGGCATGTTAATTGTCATGTTTTCTGTATTTTTTCAGTGTTTGTTTGAGATTAATTATTGATTTTAATTTATTTTTTATAATTTTTGTAAAATATCTTGTAATTTGGAATTTATGATGAATGAAGGGCAAAAGAAACGAATTTGAGCTAAGGATGGAAGAAGAAGGAGTCTTGAGTTGGAAAGAGAAATAAAAGACTTTTTGGAGTATTTATTTATTTATGGACTATTATATTTTATTAGGATAATTTTGGAGGGAGAATGATCTTTTTATTCTCTACGTATTTTCTGCTAAAATTAGAATTAGACTGGTTTGAAAAAACCAGATCGCTAGATCTCTCTTTTTCTTCTTCCCCTCTATCTCCCTCACGCACATTCTCGTCTTTCTTTTCTTTTCTTTACTTTTATTTTTTCATGGATAATTGCGAAAAAACTCTCACGTTTATAAACATGGAGAATTAATTTATTTTTCCAGCCAAATGATTATTCTAGACTTGTTTCGTCATGATTTGAATTTACAATCCCGAATTATCTTTTATTTATATTTCTCTTGTGATTATTACCAATTGTATTTTGACTGACTGATGCAAACTCGTCATTTGTTCGACTGGTGAAACGCATATTGTTATTTAGAACGTTAAATCCGTAATTGTTTGATTGTTCTAATAGTTGTGGCAAGTAACATATTTGACTACTAAGGGTTTTCAATTGTATGCTTAGAGCGATATATGTTCTAGTCTAAATAAACCTACATGTGCATTTGTTAGCTAGAATTGGTGGTCCTTCTAAATTTCAATGTTGATAGATTAAATCCTATGATCGTATCTAGGGTTGTCTGTTGATTAGAGAAATATCTAGAGAAATATCTAGAGATTGTATCCTGATTATCGAACGAGTAAGGAATGATAGGTTATTAGGTCGTACCAATAACCATAACCAATTTAATCGAGAGTAGGAGAATTATATTTGCATCCGCGATCAAATCGTTCAACCATTTCTCTATTTTTTTCCATTGGTTGGATATTTTCTCTATTTTGAATCGCTTGTTTTCTATTTGTATCCAGTTACATTTTATTTTATTTTTCATACTTAGATAAAATCATCAAAACCCCCATTATTTTTTTATTTCTTTCGTTGCATCAATGCTTGTCTAGCCAATCTCTCTGCTTACCACTATACAATTATTTTAAAAGCAGAAATTTATTATTGTTGGATTCGACATCCATCACCTAGAGACTTTTAGGGGGAATTACTCAAAATGTAAATTGCATCTTACGAGTTGTTTTGTAAAAAAATTAAATACCTAACAAACCCTTACTTTGACATATTTTCAATGACAAGTTAGTAATATATATTTTTGTGACAAATGAGCAATAAACTACTGCGCATCCTATCTAATATTTTTAATTAATAACTAATATTTAATTATTCACTACAATACATGAACAAAATATTTCACATCTCCTAAAAATCAATCACAATATTCTCGCACCATTATTTCTCACGAATTTGACTTATTCCACATATCTCTCAAACTGCTTTATTTCACATCTTCTATAAATCAACCCAACATCAACTCAAACAACAAGTTTTGAAAGGATATAGAATTGTTGTTTTGAAAAACGTCCTTATTTTTAATATAATTTTAATGGAAATATCGTAATCACATTTCATATTTCTAATACATAAATATTCTTTAAAGAAAATTGATCCAACAAAAACACCATAATAAATATTTATAAAGAGAAGATACTTAAAATTTTATAGAGATCATGCACACGTAAATATATACAAATCTAACAAATTAGAAAAGTGGAACAATTCATTTAACTACGTCATTATTTAAGAAAAATAAACTCTTATATTTAGAAATTGTACCTTAGACTTATTGGATTGAATTTTGATCTCACAAAAATCGTCATTTATTTATTTGTTTGTCTGTTTTTTTCTAATTTTGCTTACAAAACCAATAAAGTTAACGAATCTTCACATGACCATTCGATGAAGAACATATGAAAGAACAATATAAAGTAAAAAAATATTAAATTTGATAAATATTATAAAAAATATAATTAAGTTATCAATATCGTACTCACTACTAAATATGAAAAAAAATAAATAATAAATAAAAATGTTATAAATAATAAAAAATAAATGTAAAACATTAAAACTTGTACTTATCGATGTAAACGAATCAAATTGTTTAACTCTTGTTAATTTTTTGTGCTTATTAGTTCTATGTGTCAGTTTTAGGTGATAAACCATAATTGTTTGTACCTTTTTTCCATGTAGGTTAGAACTTTTAAATTATTTTAAAAAATAAAATGATTATTCTAATTTTAAATAATTTTTATTTGGTATTAGTTGTTTTTAATATAATAATAAATATCATATTCCATATATAAAATAATAATTATTTTCATAATTTAATATTTAACATGTAAGACATGTATTACAATTGAGAAATTAATTGGTAATCTTGAATAAAATAGTGACTGATTTCTAAAAATAATTATATGAACTAAAAAGTTCATGTGTTTAATATATTTTTAATAGAAAAATTGTAAAACAATTAATTAATAACAAAAACTACTATAAAAGATTTAATGTTTAAGAAGGAATAAAAAAAACAAAACAAAACCTACATTGCAATAAAAAATCCAACAGTCGATTATTCTACTAAAAATTGCAACGAATATTTCATTGGTATAGTTATCAATGAAAAATTCCATCTGTCGTTCCAATAGAGATAAAACTCAATGACATTAGAATTTCTTTGCTTTAATTATTCTTATTACCATTATTTATTATTCTGTGAATTTCCATTGGAATTTTTATCCGACAATATTTCAACTGTTAAAAAATTGTAATTAGGATTCTAAAAAATTCAATAGAAGTTCCATGTCCTATTGACGTGACGAATCCAAAATAATTTCTTATCGGGACACTATTTTGTTAGTAGAAAAGAAATACCATCAAAATAACATAATGCTATGATAATTTATAAATTATACTTTTTATAATTGGTCATCTTTCATTTATAATACAATTTTAACACATCGATAAAATCACAACAAATTTTTTTAAAAAAAAAATAGCAAAAAACATATTTTTTTCTCAATTCAACCTAATAAATCATTGAAAATAATATATTTTCACAAATTTTATGAATGAAAAACTTATTTTGTAGTATAGTTTTCTCAACAATTTAATTGATGAATTTATAAAGTATGAATATATAACTATAATTCCACATACGTTAGTTAAAAGACATAAAAAAGTTAGATAAAAAATATGTTGCAAAAGTGAAAATAGAAGTTATCATCAAGATTAAGAAAATAGAATTAGAGGATGAAATTGTAATTTTGAGATTTACCATATTTCTTTTTAGTTGTGATACCGTGTTTATGTTATAACTTTATTAAATTATGAGCTGAATTAAATTATAATTGGTTGAGTGGTAAATTAAGAATTAAATTACAATTGGTTGAGTGGTAAAATTAGTTCCTATTTATCTTTCTTTCTTTTAATTTTATTTTCAAAATAGGGATATGATTAAAATTATGAAAAATGTTCCCACAATTTTTGTTATATATGATATGCTTTATGTTTTGGGATGGGGTCTTGATGTCGGGCGTATTAAATAAACATGGATCTGCACATGATTCAAACAAAATATTTTTGTTAGATTTTTCATTGAAAGATTCAAACGGGAGTAATAACATTAACATATTCGTTAGAATTGTCAATGAGATTTCATTGTAATATATTTTTGAGATTGTCATTGCAATTTCATCATTTTCTTGTAGTAGTAGGTAGGACCAAATCAATAAATAAAATTGAGTTATATATAATTGTTTGCAGCTTATTATTGTGAAAAATCTTGATAATGATAGAAAGCATGACACATTCAATGTAATTATCATTTAATTTATGATAATTAGTAATATTTTCAAAACAAACAAGATACATAAAAGTTAAAAGTCCTTAACTATTTAATTAGCATGATAATAACTAAACAAATGATAAGAATGATGTTCTAGATAATAAAAAGGCAATCTTTACAATGAGATATCTTATGGCTCAGCATTCAATCCAAAAAAAAGTGATAAATTTAATTTATGCTATATGTCAATGGGAGCTGGCTAATTAAAATGAAAAATAAATGAGTTGTATGTTAACTATTGTTCAATTACTGCATGAGAGAGAGAATAGCATAATGGCTGTAACATAAATGAATATAAAATGTGTTACTTAATATTTTATCAAACAATGAAACAAAAATCCTAAACTTTTTAATCTTATGAACAGTATAAACGTACATTTTTTACAAATATATTATATTATAAATAAATAATACTAAATAGTATTTATGGTATGTGATTTTATCAGTTGTGGCCTAATAAATAAGATATTTTAATAACGTCATTATATAAAATACGTACAAAAAATGACACAATACATATAAATGTGTTGTAATTCTTTTAACAAATAAAATATTAGTTATGAATAGAATAAAAATC